GTTCAAAATATCCTTGATAAAGTCAAAAAGTAAGTATTATAGTTGAGATTATGATTTGAGAGTTACTGAATTCTCAGTCCTGTTCTTGGCCGCTTAGAGTGTACTTTCCCTCAAAGTACAAGCATATGGGACCTTTTCTAGTTCTACCATCTGTGATCCTATCCAGCTGTTAGTTCCTTTCTGTTTGAATACCAAAAGATACACTCTGCAGTACATGTTACAGTGTCTGCAGTCTAGTGTTTGCAGTGAATTCAAGGCAGCACTGGAGCTGAAATCCTTTCTTGAAAGTGTAAGCACCATTGCTTTAGGAGATAATATAAAATGAAATGTAAGCATCTGAAATGATCTCCTAAACTAATGACTGTCATAGTTTATGTTAAAAAGAAAATTACTTTTCAGCAGCCTTACACAACAGCCTGACAAGACTAAAGTCTTAGGTCATTGATAGGCCAGGTGTTGTAAGGACAGGATTAAATGTATGCATTTTTGAATTTACTATCTTAAAGGATATGTTTTAGTCAAGAAAAGGCGTTCAGCAATTCATGAACTCATTGATTCTTTTAAAAAAAACATGTTTTTAAGGGAAATTTATGTGAAATTGTAGGTTACATCAAACTTTTCTGTTGTACAATGACTTTTCAAAGCAAAACATTTTTATCTGGAGTGCCTCTAAACCCTGGATATGGTGAGTAGGTCTTCATAAATAGATCCTCATCATCAATGAAATCGTTGTAAACACAGGCCCTGCGAGCACAGATTCCCTGAAGAGAACACTGAAGATTCAATACTACTTGTACAAGATACTCTAGATTTTATGATTAAAGTAAAATGAACTTAGTACCACAGGAACAGTTCTGCAAATGCTTATACAGTTGATGGGATTAGTTAAGCATATATGTATATGGGTTTGCAGAATATGAATCTGTAGATGTTTGAATTATACAGTTGTTTCAAAACAACTAAGCTTATGTCATGTATGTGGAACTGTAAACAGTGACGAGGTGTCCAAGCTGGATATCGCTTTCCGTCATAGCGCCTGTGAAGTTTTGTCTAATATGAAAATCTGAAAAATCATGTCTTCTAAACAACCTGTTTGGCAAGCTGCCAGTCTTAAGTAGTCATTTAAAAATATGCCAGGATTTTAAATATAGTTAATTCAGCTTTAATTGAAAACAGCTCTATTAGGTATGTCTGTGAGGTAATTTCATCAATCCTTTTAAACAGTTTTCCTGTATCTGAGTACCTGGGGGTCTGGATGGTTTTCGGAGTTGTTAATCAAACTGTATACTTTTAATGTGGCTAATTTAACATTGGGCTGCTACTCTGAAAATTAAACCAAACTTTTGAGAAGTCAGAAATTGGATTGCTGCTCTAAAAAGTCTCATTTCCCGTGTATCTGAATATGTTCTGATTAGCACAGAACAGAAGATGGTTCCTGACTCCAAATTTTAAGGCAATGAACAACCAACAGAGACAGACAAAAGGGAAAATAGTAGAATACAGTGACATGAAACTAATAACACTGATCAGCATCTTGTCACTTGTTCCAGTCTAACCGTTACTAAGCTTTTTCTGGATATTGCAAAATAAAGATTTTGAAGGAAGGCCTTATAGTAGAAGAAAAAGTTAGTTTCAGGGATATTTACATAGTGAAGAGCCTTAGAGAAATCATAGAAGTGCTTGTTTGCAATATGTCTCTGATTGTGGTCCAAATACCAATGTGTTTTGATAGCTTAATAGTAAGGCATGTGATGATAGACAGCCGTTAGGAGTCATCAAAGTAAAGAAAAGTAGTCTTCTGTGACATGGTAGAGATGGGCAAGCCAGAATGCAGAGAGGAAGTGACACCGAGTAGCATAAGCAAAATATCCTTCTCAATTCCCAAAATTTCTGTGAAGATAAGGCAAAATTGCATCTGTTAAGTCACAGCAGATGACCAGGTTCTGAAGTAGCTGAGCTCTTTGTGGATGGTGGAGAGAGAAAGGCTGTGTCTCAGTTACGATGAAGAAGAAATTAGTAGGATCACGGTCTTCTAGGCTCAGACATCACTGCTGGTATCAGCATTGGTCTAGGAAAAGGTATTGAGAAGGTTCTCTGAAGATGATTAAGAGATCTCTTGATGTTTAGTTTGAGATGATGATTAGATGTCCATGAGATGGTAGGAGAAAAGAAGAGATCAGGATAGAAGTAGAGAGTCTGCAAGGAAGAGCCTAGAAGTAGCAGCCAGATTTCTGATGAGGTTACCTGATATTCATAGAAAGAAAGAAAAATTGAGGTTTGGAAGGGACATCTGGCGATCATATAGCCAAACTCCTGGTTGAAACAAGGCTAACATCAAAGCTAAATAAGGTTGCTCAGGGTGCTCCAAGGATGGAGATTCCACCACTTCTCTGTGCAGCCTGTTCCAGTGCAGAACCACTGTCCTTATGAGGGACTCTTTCCTTCTTTCCAGTTCAAATTTCCCTGCCTGCAGCTTGCCTCTTGTCCTTTATTCTGCACCTCCGAGAAGGGTCTGGCTCCATTTGGTCTATAACTCCCCTTCTGCATAGGTAGTGGAAGACTGCAATTAGATCCCCACCTTAGCCTTTACATCTCCAGGCTAAACAAACCCAGTCCCCTTTGCCTCTCCTCATATGTCATGCTTCAGCGTCTTAACCATCTTAATGGACATCTGCCAAACTCTCTCCAGTTGTCCATTTTTTTGTGTACTAGGGAGCAGAGAGCTGTCTACAGTTCCAGAAATGGCCTCGCGAGTGCTGTGCGGAGGTCAGTCACCAATTTCTTGGACTTTTTGGCTGTGCTCTTGCTAGTGTAGCCATTAGCCTTTTGCTGCAAGGATGCACTACTTCATGTTCAACTTGTCAGGATCTGCAGGATCCTTTTCTGCAGAGCTGCAACCTCTACCCAGTCCCTAGGCTGTGGTGATGTGGTGTGGTCTCTGTCCCGAGTGCAGGACATTGTATTTGTCTTTTTGAACTTTTGAGGATCCTAGCAGCTCATTCCTCCAGCTTGTTGAAATCTTTTTGAATGGCAGCTCTGCCCTCCAGTTTGCCAACCACTCCCCTCAGTTTGATGTTACCTATGCATTTGCTGAGGGTGCTAATGTTCCATTGTCAAAGTCATTGATGAAGATTTAAACAATAGCAGCCCCAGTATTGACGTAGGAGGAACACCACTCATAACTGGTTGTTGCTAGTCTGTGAACCATTGACCACGATTGTTTAAGCCCAACAGTGCAGCCGATATTTCTTCCACCGTGTAATCTACCTATCCAGTGCATACGTCCTCCATTTGGCTACCAGAATACTAAAGGAGGCTGTTTTGAAAGCTTCACTGAAGTCGAGGTAAATAAGGTCCACTGGTTTTAAGCTCCACTGATCTCTGTTAAGAAAGGTGGACGCTAAACACCAGGATTTGAACCTCTGCAGGAAGCTGGAAGCTTCTGGCTAGCAAAAGGAACAGTTTGAAATTAATGTAAATGTACTGGGGAAGACTGACTCATAGAAACTGTGAGAAGAAAAGACTTCAAGATGATGATTATGGCTGATGCTGATGTTTTAAGCTCATTTATTTCTTTCCTATATTTGACATGTAGCACTTTTTAAAAAAGCAATGTGCTCTTTTTATGACTTATCTCAGTTTGCACTAAGCATTTTCCCAGTGCAGTTTTCTTTTAAATCATGCTACTTCTCTAGCTATGTAATTCCTGTAGGCAGCTGTGGAAATTGTCTCAGACCAAAGTTCTCTCAACAAACCTGATTTATTAAATGTGGCACTTCCAAAGTAGTGCTGCAGATGAAAGAGCGTGATCATTGCTGGCTAAGAAGGAGCTTAAGTCAGAAAGACTTTAAAATGATTAAGCAAGTGTTATTGGCCTAGAGAGGATTCTTTGCTAAGCATTGAGACCTCTCAGAGTTTAGATCCAGGTTATGCACTTTTTCTGTAAGTGTACTTCTGAGTTATGGTAGTTTACTGTTACTTATCCATGTTTCTGGCTGCTCGGTTGCAGAGTCTTAGTGTTTATTCTGAATCACTTTTTCCTTTGCCATAAAGGGAAAACTGGGAACTGCCAAATTTGTGCTGATGTTAGATTAGGGCTGTTCAGAGTGATGAGACAATGATTACATTTCGTGAATACCTACAACAGTACTTACTACTCAGCATTTGATATTACCTAACTACTGATGAAAAGTAACTGACTGAAACTGTACTGTGTTCTATGAATTGTGGATTGTGGTATATAGTTCTGTCATGGTAGTATAGCAAGTAGAGTACAGCATTTACTCAGATAAAAGCTTCAGAATCAGAGTGTGATTTATTCTAGTTCTAAGGACTTGCTTTTATATTGTAGTGCAAGTGATTACATGGCTTAAAGGATTGGCAGTGGTATTATGGAGACTTTCACCTTTAAGTTAGTGGTTTACTGACTGCAGGGTCAGAAGAGTCCAGCTATTATCTGTGAGGGGCTGCATGAAATAAATTGGCAGCCTTAGTCCATTTCTCGAGAACAGGTGTTACATCCCAGGACTGTAGCAAAAGTTCGCTATTGCTGCAAATAGGCAGTCTATAAAATATATATAAAACTTGATTTTTCTCATCCAGTTTAGGGTTGAGACACATAACAAAACAGAGGTGAGCCTGCATTTTTGAATCCAGTGTTTGATTTCATCTGTGATTGAAGCTGAAACCTTAGCTTTCAGGGACATTGCTTAAGTTTGATTATTACTATACTTTTTGAAACACCCAGATTTCCTAGTTAAAATCATTTTCTTTGCTGAATAGGAGGATCGTTCTGGGATGGTATTTGTGGCGCAACATAAGCTACAATTTATGGTTTAAATTATGGGGAATAGGATTCACATTTGTGCACTTTTTAAGCTTAAGTATTTAAGTTGTCTAAGTTAGCGCAAACAGATTACGTGCTAGCTTTTATTGCATCATTGTTATGCATTTCTTTAAAATATGAATATATTGATATTTATTGTTTTGAAATCAGTGTGTTCTAGGGCAATGGCTTCCAAAACCCCAGTTGGATTCATTGGGCTGGGTAACATGGGAAATCCAATGGCAAAAAACCTGGTAAAACATGGATATCCAGTTATTGCATATGATGTGTTTCCAGAAGCTTGCAAAGAATTTCAAGACTTGGGTGCTCAGGTATAGTAATTAACTTTCTTTATTCTAACAATGACTATATGTATTGAATGGTTCTTGCATGTGATTTTTTTAAAGTAGGCTGTTTTTTTCTTAGTGAAGAGTACATTCAAAACTAAAAACAACTTAGTGAATGCACTCTGAATCTGTGGGGTATTAGTTGGAGCATAGACATGGTTCCACCGTAAGTCTTTGTCATGCTGTTAGCCAGAATTGCTACCTTGCTGGACTTCTGTAGCTGTTTTTCCTTTTCTGTTTATGAGACTAGGTTGACAGCCTGTTCTTTCACCTCCTCCTTTCCACTGCTTCCTCCTCCCCCAGGTCTAGAGGGCTAGTGGGCTGCTTTTCATCTGGTTCCTACTTTGACCTTTTTAGGCTGGGTGACCCTAGTTAAGAATTCCT